AGCACATGGGCCACACTGCCTCTACCCGAGCTGCAACATCTTCCTGGACCATTCAGCACTGGCAGCAGCCAAGCAAGTAAGTTCTTCTGCAAGTGTACTTGGGAAGAGGATAATAAGTTGTGCAGGGATGGGCCAGTGGAGGAGCTGGATTCAGAACTTTCCTGGTTCAAAAACTGATCAGATAGCCTTTCCTCTGTGGCCATCTGGTCAGTTTGTTAATAATAGTTTACGGAAGTCATTTATTAGCGACTGTTTTTTCCTAGAATGCACTTAATTGGGCACATGGTTTATTTTTACATGTTAAAAGACCTGAAGCTCTGGAGATAAATGGAAATGTGCAAGTGCTCATAAAAAAGAAAACAGAGTAACCCCTTTCAGTGTCTTTAAGAACCATACTGGAAAGAATAAACCACTAATAATTAAAAATATTTACAAGAGGGGGACTTAAAATTTAGATTCCCATCTTATGAATTATTCCTTCACAAAGGGAGTTGGGGAGAGTGAGAATCACATTTTTTTTTTATTATACAACTTGTGTGATGTAGAACACTCCAGCACAATGCAACGTCAACTTGTTGGAAAGTTAGACCATCACTCCCCAGCACTGTAGCTACTTTGGCAATTCAGATGCTTCCCATTAAAGTCAGTGTCACAGTCAACTTGGCAAGTTTGAATGTCTACAGTTGAGGTGGATGACTCTGGTATTGGACTGGAAATATTATTTGTTAGCACATCTAAACAAATCCTCTAGAAAAAAAGATCACACACTATGATCTCCTTGTACTGCACCTGAAGTCTTTCTACTCATGGTCTAAAACTGGTGGTAGGTTTTTAGATTTGGAGTCCTTAAAAGAGATTCATCAGGACCCTATTCGGCCCTGGGTGGGGATACTAAACAAACGGAAGGGTACGTTCACAGTATGTGGAGGATGGGTGTGTTTACCCAAATTTAATCTCAATTTTGAAAATACTGCTATTATTGGGTACTGTTAGTGAACTGGATATTTTCCCCCATATAATGATTCTACTTACAAAGTGATTGTCAGTGTATTTTAAAGGTTCTTATTTTGTTATTAAATTGAAATGCTTATTTTATGCTTCAAGTACAGTACTGATTTTTTAAAAATAACCTATTCTTAACATGGAATTACCTATGTGGGATCCTACTACTGTTTAACTTTAGGATTTTGTATTCTTTTTTTTTTTTTTGGCGGTACGTGGGCCTGTCACTGTTGTGGCCTCTCCTGTTGCGGGACGCGCAGGCTCAGCGGCCATGGCTCACGGGCCCAGCCGCTCCGCAGCATGTGAGATCTTCCCAGACCAGGGCACGAACCCATGTCCCCCGCATCAGCAGGCGGACCCTCAACCACTGTGCCACCAGGGAAGCCCAGGATTTTGTATTCTTAAAACATTGAGCCACTGCTTCCCTGCCTGAGCCCAACTGATCCAAGCACTTATCCCAGTTCCTAGCACACGCCAGTCGCTCTATGCATGGTGGCCACCACTATTATTATTGCTATCACCACAGTTGTAATAATACACTAGCTTTGCAATTAAAAAGAACAAACAAACAAAAAAAACAAGCCATTGAAATGTTCACTGCTCTTTGCAAAATGCCAATTCAAGTTAAATTCCTTCAAGAAAAAAATGAATTCATTGCTTACCACCAGTCCTTTTACTATAGTTTTTTCAGTCATTGCTTGGTTGTCTTAAGTTTCTTAAGTTTCTTGGTTGTCTAGCAGTTTCTTCATGAAAGGCTTTGGGTTGAGTATAAAATTTTTGACCATACCGCCTTTCTTTGAAACCTTGCTCTCCTGTGTTCCAGAGTCGAATGTTAATGTTAAGAAATCTGAAGCCTACCTGATTATTTTTACCTTTAAAAATAGCCCAATTATTTTGGTTCTGCCCAAACGATTCTTTTATCTTTGACTTCTGTTAACTTCACTAAGATGTCTTACTGTTGACTCTCCTATGTCATTTTTTACTGAGACATGGTATATCCTTCTCAATGTGGAGAGTCAGATCTCTTGATTTTGGGAAAATCTTCCCTGAATCATACCTTTAAATATTCCCTTTGTGCTATTATACTGGATTTCTTCTTTGTGAACTCGAACTATGTGTATGTTGAATCTCTTTAACTTCCACTACTGTTATTTTCTTTCTAGTGCTTTTTATCCTTCCTGGCCTCTGCTTCTTGCCTTGTTTTCAGCAGTGCCTATTCTCTCTTGGACTGCTTCTAATTTTGTATTATGTGATTCTTAAATTTTTTATTCCACTTTTTTCCTGAGCTCTGCGGTTTACATTTCATCTACTGATGTCTTGCCATGTGCTTGAACTTATTTTATAAAAGCAATTATTTTATTTTTGCACTCTTATGTTATAAAGACAATTGCTTAATTTTTTTTATTCATGGGAAAATAATCATAACGTTCATATGCTCCATGGCAACAATTTTCATCTTCGAAGTATTCTTTATCTGCCTTTTACTTTTCCTGCTCTTCCACCTCTTTTTCTTATAGTATTTTAGTACAGATCTCACGCTGGCTCCTTTTGGGCAGCCCAGCTTGGAATTAGTTGAGGTTTTTATGTACAAGCTATTGGTACAAAGCTTATACAAGCGAAGACCTGGGTACGCATTCCAAGTAACAGGCATTTTTCCTTATGACGCAGGGTTGTGTGTGAGTCCTGTTCATCTTTACTTCCCCCTAGCCAAAAGAAATATGCAGTTTAAGTATTACACCTCCCCCCACCACTTAAACAGACTGCTTCGTGCAAATTTGGCTTGATTCCTTGATCAGTCTTTCCTCTACTGCCTCTTTGGACCAAAAGAGGTTCAGACAATATCCTTTCACAACCTGTGCATCTTATTCTTGTTGATGAAACAAGGGATTTTGACTTCGTGCCTCGGGGTACGCTCCTCACCTTGGAGAAAGGCACCCTGCTGGTTCTTTTGGAGATCCATATGGCCCCACAGACCAGTCTCTCCATACCTGCTCCAGCACCCCTGCATGACCTCCAGTGCTTCTTGCAACCATTCCACCTGTGCTGTGGTTCATGATTTCAAATATCTTCAGGTGTCCTAGCTTTCTCAAAGATGGAGTTTGCATTTCTCTTTTTCATTCTCCTTGTTGCTTTGGAGTGTTTTCAGAGACAAGAAGGTGAGAACATCAAGCATACTCTGATACTTACAATCTGGAAGTTCTCAGTAGGAGTAACTTGTTATTACATCCAGGAGTACTGTCACCTTATGATTTTCAAAGCCCCATCAAGTGTATTTTCTCTCTTAAACATGCTGTATACATGCTAGTTATTAGCAACTTAATACTAAAAAGCTTGCGGCTTACTCAAGGTCTCAGAGCTAGTTAGAACCCAGGTCTCTTGATTCCTGGTCCATGTTCTGAACACATTGCACATGGCCGGTGAACTCCACTGACCTTCCTCCTAAGCATACTTATTACCAGAAGCTGATCTCTAAGAATTATACCTAGAAAAGACTAAGAAACCACATAACTGACAAATATCAGAGGTGCAGAGGAAAGAGGACCAAGCTTAGTTGGAACAAGTCAGGGAACAAGCTTAGTTCCCATTACCTGGCTTAGTATCTGTCACTCCTTCCATAAGAACCAGTCCTACAGGTCGCTGACAGGCGATGCTGCAGAAGCGGAAACGTAGCAGGAAGTCTCGGCTATACTTACGTTTCTCTGTAAACCAGGAAAAGCCATAGAGTGAAAGACAGGAAGAGAAGCCACATGCTGAGACTTCCTTAATACCAAGAAGCTTACAAGTAGGGACACAGAGGAAGTCTGGCTCTGAAGACAAGGAGATTTTCCAATGGCTATGATTTAAAGTTGTCCATTTCATTGGGTGACCATGAGGAGGACAATGAAAAAAACAAAGGAACGTGCTAAGAGAATTGAGGGAATTACACTTTCTCTTGTCACTGAGGTGCCAGCTTTCTCCCAAAATGGGCATGGAGGGACAACCAACCAAGAATGTGGCATGTGCTCACCTGATCTCTTGGGGTGACAGGAGGTGACATACTGACAGCAATCAGTGATGCCCAGGGAGCTGGGCCATAGTGGGGCCTGCAGCTTCCTCTGATAAAGCTGATGGGAGAAGTCTTCCTGTCCAGATACCTACAAGGAAAGAGCAGATGGGAATAAGGAATCTGAGATGGAAAAAGGAAATAGCCCATGTTTTGGGACATGCAGACAAACATACACACACACACACACACACACACACACACATAGTCACATACTATGTACGTAACACAAGCAAAACACATAAGTCTCAGGGGAAAGTTAAAAATAAGGAGCTATTTAAAACCATTATTTTATTTTTTTTACTAGAAACACTGAAATATCCATGAGACAGGAATAAGGGGTTAAGAGAGTGAGGTATGCGAATCAAAGAGAACAGAACTATATGAACATATGGTCCCTAAATTTCAGCTCAGAAACATCTACACTACTCTGCCCAGGGAATGTCAACTTCCAGGGGCTTTAATTTGCAGCGGGAAAAGGTTTATCCTGATCTTTGGATCTTCTGGATCAAAGTCTAGCATCTTAAGCCTATTACTGGGAAACCACGGGGTCAAACCAAATGGGAAATTCACCAAAGCACTTTACCGTATCTACGTCACCATCCTCGGTCAAAGCCAATGAGCAGCCTGGGAACGGACAGAACGTAGTAGGGGAAACATTCGGCAACATCAGTCATCTGCATATCTCCAACGTGTGTAGCAAAACCCCCTTTATTTCATTTAACAACAACAAATATTTGAATGCCAACTATGTGCAAAACACCAGCTAAGTGCTGGGGAGAGAGCAGTGACAGACACAATCTCTCTACCCCTCAAGGACATACATTTTCAGTATGCCATCAGAAGTAAAACACACCTTCATTTAACGGCCATTTACTAACTGTGTGACTTTGGGCAAGTTAGTTAACTCTCTTGGGTTCGACATGCTCTACTATTGAATGGGATAATAATACCACATACAATTAAGAATCCTGGTAACCATAACTACTACCAATTACTGACTGCTTCCTTTGAAGCAGAAACTGGAAAACACTGTGTGCATTATTTTATGTAATCCACCAAAGAAAACCCTCTGAAGTAGGTCCCATTATATCCCCAGTGTATGATGAGGCAAATGGGGCTTACGGAAGTGAAGTAACTTGCCCAAGGTGGCAGAGCAGGCATCTGAACGCAGGACTATCTGGCTTCAAAATGGTGCTCTTAATCACTATGCTTAACGGCAGCTGTCACGTGGTAGGCACTTAGTAAATTCTTCTTCCCATTCCCTGAGCCCCTTGATAACAGCAGCTTCCTGGCAGGATAATGCCTTTCTCTGCGCATGTAGCAACCAGGACATCGCTGGCACTTGAGTAACCTCATTAAAATAAAAGCCCAAAGTGCTCAACAATAATTCAGTCATTTTATGTCTTTTCTCTCCTGTGCCTTGCCAAAAGTTAAGCAACAAATTGGATCAGCAGGGGCAAAAGAGAGGAACAAGGAGATTAAGTGACATGTAAAGAAATCAGCACAAGCTGAATGCTCCTCAGTAGAGCTAAATAAACTACAATAAAACTATAAGATACCTAGGTTATAAACATTCAGCAGTTAAAAGGAATGAGACAGATACATATGTACATTGTTGAGTGAAAAAAAACAAGCTACAAAATGAAATATACATAATATATCACATTTATAAACACACACAGTACATTATATACCAGCTGTTAGAAGCAATCACAGCATAGTATTGGAGGGCAAGAGCTCTGGGGCCAGACTACCTGGTTACAAATCCTGGCTCCACCACTCACTACCTGCAAAAACTAGAGTAAGCAAATTGCCTAACTTCTCTACACCTTAGCTTTTTCATTTATAAAATGGAAGGAATGATGGAAATTATGAAAATTAATGAGTTAATACATGTATAGTGCTTAAAATAGCACCTGGCACACAGTAAGTGCTTAATAAATGTAGATTATAATTACATCATCACAACAGCTTAGATACTACTGCAAATGCATAGAAAATGACCTGGAAGAACACCACCAAACTTTGAACAGTTATTACTTGACTCTAAGTGGAGACGTGGGAAATGTAGGTAATAAAGGGGGCTTTGGTCTTATTTTAAAATGTCTGAATCCTTAAAGGGATGCACTTGTGTACTTACATGCACTTACATATATACTTATGTACTTGTAAATTAAACATAAGTTAATGATAAAAACTGAAAGGATTCCAATATACCAAAGGCACTCCTAACTTCCAGGCTTGGGTACCAGATATCAACAGAACCAGAAAAAGCCAGAGGAAGCCAGAACAGGTGTAACTGAGGTCCCTGCCACAGAAGCAACACCAGATGCCAACACCAAAATCTCTCCCTAAGCCAACCCCACAGTGGCCTCTCCCATTTCACCTTCCAGGCCGGCATCCCATGGTACTGGAGTTCTCCATCCCTGATGAAGTTGTAAAGAGGTGAATCAGGGACAGAATTCAGGTCCCCACACAAGATGATGGGGCAGTGGCTGCCATCTGACAACCTGGCCACCTTGTCCACTTCAGCCAAGAAAATGGCCATCTGGGCTAGCTTGACATCACCCCGACGTGGGTTGTACAGGACGTGAGTATTTGCCACACATAAGGGGGCCACTGAGACTTGCCCCAGGCCTTCTGGGACTAGTGGCTGCAGCAGCAACACTAAGCCCACATTGTCCCGATTGAGGAGCTCCAAGCCAGGCCGAAAGTACTCCACAGGGCTGGCGCAGAGCAGACGGAATCGCGTGGGCTTGTAGCAGACAGCACAGCCATCTGTCTTACACCCGGTCCTCCTCTTGTAGAAACAGGTAAAGCCTGCAAGGAACACCCCACCAAGGAGATGGGTAAGAGTCCTTGAAGATGGGTTAGGGTCCCTCTACCCAGTGGCAGTAGCCCAGGCATGTGTGCCTAATGCATTGCTCCTGCAGTTCAATAAGGGGAGTCCTTGCCCTTGCCAATTCCTTGGTTCTGCAGAGGCTCCCTTACAGTTGTAACCAGATGACTGAGTGGCTAGAAGGGGAAGGAGGGACAGAAGGGTATGAAGCAATAACCTGACAGGAAAAGCATGGACTCTAGGGTCAGACAAGCTGGAGTCCAGGCTCCACAACCTATGAGTTTCATATTTATAGCTTTGTGACCTTGAGCTAGTCACACAAATTTTCTGAACCTCAGTTTCCGCACTGTAAAATGGGGATAATAATATTCAGCCTCACAGGGTTGGTTACTTCAAGGATTAAATGGAAATATATGTCAGAATTGCTTTAAAACTTCAGGACTCTCCTCACCCACACAAAGAAGCTAGCTCACAGATGAGACTGAGGGTTTACTGAGATGAAAGAAAGATACAGTGCATTCAGGAGAGAGCAGACAGGGCTGTAGGAAGAAAGACTGGCAAACGTGCCAGGGAGCGGCATTACCCATCATTCTCAGAGAGGGCTCCAGCTGCTGCCAGTAATGGTCTTCCTGGACTTCCTGGAGACACAAGATCTGGGAAATGACAAGGAATCCAATCACTCCAGAGTAATGGAGGGCCCTGGAGTATGACTCCCACCCCAGGAGCAGGCACTGAAGCCACATGGGAAGCTGCTGTGGGTCTCAGGCTGGGTCACACTGAAACTTCCCCTGGTGCTGACTCTTCCCTGATAGCCACTACCAGCAAGAACAGGCCCAGAGTTAAGCTGAGATCAGATACATGCGCTGGATCTTCCTGCTCCTTGAATCCCTCACGTCTCCCTGCCTGCACAAAGGTGCTAGAAAGTGTGCACCCACGGACAGTCTTCTTAGCATCTGCCCCAAACTCATTACACCAGGCAGGCAAGCACCAGTCCTAGGCAGGAGGCCAATCATATGAACAACTGTGGGGTTCAATTCATTTTCTAAGAGCATTGGGAAACAGCCAGGGTCCAGAGCAAATGCAGGATGGCACATCTCCCCATCTTCACTCACATCGGGATCCCAGTGCTGGAATTCCTGCATGAGATTCGCAAAGCGGTAGTTCCAACTGAGGATGTCTGGATGGCAATGCAGATAGAGCTCTGAGCTCTGCTGCATCAGGTCCTGAGCCAGGATGTTATAGGACATCAGAGTGAACTGGAACTGAGGGCCATCCCCCGCCTCCAGGCCCTGAGCATCTGGCTGAGTGGAGAAATCCTCCCATTCTCGCCACAAGATTTCTGCAAAGGTGGCGGGAAGAAGAGGTCCATGGTAAGTCCATGTGATTCACAGGGCCCACCATCTCCACTCCTGACTCCATGATACTGTGACGAGTTCCTTTTTTCATTTTCCCTGTCATTCATCCCTTTCTGTGGTGATTTGAACAACACTCTAAGGACATTCTCAGACGAGACAATAAACTCCACAAAGCCTAAGATAATCTTGGCCTGTTCATCACTGTATCCCTAGTACCTAGCATACTACCTGGCACCTAGTACAAGTTCACTAAATATGGCCAACAATTTCTCACTTCTCATAAATCCATGGGTCTCTGGGGAACCACTCAGATGTATGTGCTTAATAGTCATCTGAGATTAAAGACATTTCTAGAGTAATCTCAGCCTTGGGTGTTTTCTGACCTCTAAACCTGAAAATGCCTACAGAGCCAGAAACCATAATGTGTCTCCCATGTGCCCTCGAGCAGGGAGCTGCAGAGTGGATTTCAAACCTATGTGAGCCACAGCACTCATTCTCCAAAGTTTAATGGAAGCCCGATATATAACACAGATAAAAATGGAGTTATCCTGGTTGAGGCAGAGAGTGGAGCCCTGAGAGCTCTCCACCGCTACCCCAGGTCACCTCCAGAGAACCAATAATGTAGAGAATCAGAGCTATGGTCTGCTTTCAGTTCTGCCACTACCTAGCTATGTGACTTTAGGCATGTCCTGCTACCTCTCTGTGCCGTGATCACTTCATCTGAAAGGCCACGGGGCTGGATGAAATGCTCTCTAAGGCCCCTCTGGATCTGCCACTGCAGGAGTCTCAGAAAAACAGAATGCAGCAGCAGAGCTCCACACAAGAGAACTTTAGCAGTGACTGTGTGCACATCCGAGACAACCTGCTGCCCCGGCTCACCCAGCCGGTTATCAGACTCACCATGATATGGGATTTCCACTGGGGGAGGCTGCAACTGCCCCAGGCCCTCAAAGGGCCAGATGGGAGCCTCTTCCTGGGGCACAGGCTCCGGTGCTATGCTCCAGGCCACCACTGCGGGGTCCTCTTCCCACTGCTCTGCAGCCAGGGCACCCACTGGGAGGACAGCACAGTCTGCATACTGGGGGCCAGTCTGCACCGGGACTTCTGCCCACATTGGGCCCTCGACCTCTGGCAGTGGCTCCTCTCCTAGCACCTCAGGGAAAGGCTCCTCCAGGTTCTCTGCTGCCCACAGGTCACTCAGCTGCCTGCTGGACCACTTGTCTTCTGAAGCAGCATCCTGTTCTCCAGGATTATCCATCAGGTGCGCCAGGCTGCTCTCGGCTACTCCCTTATCTACAAGCAGACCCTCGCTCACAGTTGAGAGTGCCTGGCTTGACCCTTCTTCTTGCCACTGCTGCAGCAGGCCCTCACACTCCTCCTGGTCGGGGCCCCGAGGGGCCATGGCAAAGTCGCCGTCTACCTGGGGGGACGAGCTCTTCGCCAGGAAGGCATTTTTTCGACATGTGAAGAAAGCATCTAAGAAGAAAGCCAAGATACCATGTTATAAGATGACAGCATCACCCAACCCATGCTCTTCTCCCAACTTCTAATAAGTCTCATACAAGCAAGAATCATGTCCACCTTGCTCATCACTGTACCATCACTGAGCCTATTTTAGTGCCTGGAACATCATCACCATCAGATCAGAGTGCTTACTATGTGCCAGGCACTGTTCTAAATGCTCTACAAGTATTAACTAATTCATATGGTAGGGATCTGATAAATATTCAGTGTGTGAATGAAAGAATGGCCATCCGACATAATCTAGGACAGAGATGGTCACACACAACCACACTCCTTTTATCTGGAGGTTAAGATTCCTATTAACATCAACTCTCTGGTTCTAAGAGCCGTATCACACTGGAACCAGCACTTGACCATGAGTCAGAACTGTGGGTTATGGCCTAGCACTGAAATTAACAAAGCTATGTGACCTCGGACAATGGCCCTAGTGAGATGGACTCACTCTTGACTGTAAAATGAGGACAAGGGAAGTTTGAACTAGATAATCCCCAAGAGCTTTTCTAGTTCTATAAATCCACTAATCTATGAATGCATTCTAAAAGAAAAAGGCCTAAAGTAGACAAAAAGGGTGTCTCAAAATCTGTACAATCTCTCTCTTAGCAAAGGCCCTGGGTCCTCTTCTCAAATCTATTTATTCTACTCATAAATCTTCACAGACTTCATTATCATCTTTCCCATTCCATAGTACTCTAGCGGCTGTAAATCAGAAGGTGCCAACAACTGACAGCAAGAGACAGCTGCCACCTCTCTGCTACGGCAGCCACAGTGACAGCCAACAGGCAAAAAGCAGGTGGGAAAAACTATAAAATTGGAGCCCCCAAAATCCAAGCACAGTATTTTGGTGCAAACAAAACCTCCCCCCACCAACACACACTAAGTCACTTATTTTTAGCATAGGACAAGTGACATGTAGGATGATGACCCTCAATCACCAGAGATTTATTTTATCAGCTCTTTTTTTTAAAAGGCAAGAAAAACTTCAAAATGGTTCAAACGTTGAAAGACACTATCTTATTTAGGGTCTATGTGGATTTACGTCCCTCAAACCCGTGGTTTTTCAACCAGGGGTGATTTTGCCCTCAGGGAACATTTCTGCATTGTCTGGAGACAGTGGTCGTCACAACTGTGGGGATGCTACACTGGCATCTAGTGGTTATAGGATGAAGATACCGCTGAATATCCTACAGTGCAAGAGACACCTCCACAATGAACTGTCCAGGCCCAGACGTCAACAGTACTGAGACTGGGAAACCCTGCTCTAAACCCATGGGCTGGGTTGCTGGCCTTAGTCTCAGGAACTTATTAATTCCCTGCCCTTTGAAACATCCTCTATGTGTATCGCATGGCAGAAGTTCTTTGATTTATACGTGTGAGGTTATTAGTTTTCAAACTCAGCAGGTTTTGGTTGGTGGTGGTGGTTTGTTTTTCAGCAGCAGAATTCTTTTATTAAAAGAAAATCTGTAGGAACCAAATGTACAGATACAAACGGGACTACTTTAATAGGTGTGTGCAAGTGGGTGGGGGGAGGCGGCCCTTCCTCTGACATACCTAAAACTCTGACTACTGGTCTAGAAACCTCTGGACTAGTATATGTCACTACGGCTGCCATTATGGACACTGGCAGAGCTCCAGAAATGACAGCAACATGGTTAGAAGAATATGCATTAGTTCTCTGAAAACAATGACTTCTGTGGAGTTCCTCATTTCTGAGAAGTATGTACACACAAGACATTCCCGAATTGAGTGCCTACTGCATTCTGGGCAGTATGCTAGCACTAGATACAGTGAGCAAAACAGACATGGCCCTGCCCTCCTGGAGCCCGCATTCTAGTGGCAGATACAAACATACACATACATACATTAAATGTTTTATATGAAATATATAGGAACAGAAATTACACACACACACACATATTGTGTAAAGTTCCAGAAAGGAAAAGCACAGAATGCACACAGTTGGACATCTTATTTCTAAAAGTCCTTCTTGGTCTGTCCTGCCCCCTAAAATGCCAGAGAAAAGTCTGGGGGTTCTGTGGGATCTCCCAGAGGAACTGATGGTCTCATAAGAGCCTCGGGAACGTCAAAGACCAGGAGTGGGGAGCGCAGGCAGATCATGGCAAAGTTAAACAATAACTCTTCTCTAAGTACCCGCTGGGCATTGCCTCCACCCCATTACATCTCTAAACGCACGGGACATTGCTTCAAAGCCGAAGTTTCAATGTGTCTCTGGATTCTGAGCATCCGTTTTTTCAACCAGACTCCGCTGAGAGGCGGCTGGGAAAGGTGAGTGTGGAGTTGACCCAGGGGAAAAACAGGTACGTCTATGTCTTCAGTCCACAGATCCGCCCCCAGGGCCGACTGGCCCCTGTCCACAGAGAATTCGGACATTAGCCTAGGCCCCGAGCGGCCAACCCTCCCCGACCCCCAGGGCAGTGACTCAGCGGGACCGGAACCTCTCCGCAACCCCGGGGCCAGAGAAGGGCAGCTCTGGCCCCTCCCCAAGCCGCCTCACGTTAACTGTGGCCCGACACCTCCAGGTCACAGGGGTGAGGAGGGGCCCGCCCACGACGCTCGCCGGCCAGGCCCGGGCCTCGTTTAGTCCAGGACAGGCACGGCGGGGCCGACGGCCGCCTCCCCACACCTTGGCACTGCCGGGGGAAAGTGGTCGTGAGGCCGTCCGCGACGCACGCCGCCCCAGGCCCCGCGGGGCCCCGCCGAGGCAGGCCCGGGCCTGGCACCCGCCCGTCAGGACACAGGGCCGGTACCTGAGAGGGCGCGGAAAAGGCGCGCGGCCGGCAGCAGCAGGTAACACAGGCACGACGCGATCATGGCCAGCCGCCTGCGCCCGCTCCCGCGCCCGCTCCAGTGCCCGCCTCCCTTCCTCGCCACCGCCCGCCAGGTCTCCCTCCGTTCGGCCCCGGCCCCGCCCCCGGCTCGCCCCACCCCCGGCTCCGCCCCCGGGACGGCTCACATGGTACCACTGCGCTTCAACAACAACTTTATTGGGAGCTCAGGGCCAAGCGGGAGCCCGCTGGGCGGGGAAGCCAGTTCCCAAGGCAACGGAGCATAGCGGGCCGGGCCTGGCTCTCAGCTGCGGCAGAAGCGCCGGGATTTGAAATTAAACCCCTACCTGGAGGCACCAGAGTATTGTTTAAAGTCCACAGTTTTATTCCCGCTTCTGCCGCCTCACTACGGCTCCACCTTGGGTCCACCACGTAACCTCTCCGCCCCTCAGTTCCCTCATCTGTAAAATGAGGTGCTGGACCTTGTCTAAGGCCTCACCCAGCTCTGACTTCTATGATCTTGACCGGCTTAGCCCAGACTGGAGAGAGCCAGCTCTTTCCCATTTTTCTCCTTTTCCTAACTCTCTTCCGCAGCTCAGATTTAGGTCAAACATTGAGTCCACACCTTGCTTCAGCACGTAAGATTTTATCTCCTCATCCTGTTCCAAATGGGCCCTTTTTCCCCTAATCTGGAAAAAAGGGGTGTCCCATTGATAAGGGGGCCAAAAAGGGGAGGGGGTGAACCCTCCACAAGGGCAACGGGACCAAGTCTGGTTGGTTGGTTGGTTTTCCTTGAGGTATCTCTTCTCTCCAATGTCTATGACAGTGTCAGGCACATAGTAGGGACCAAATAAACCTTTGTTGACTGAACAAAATATATGTCACTAAAAGAAGGCCAGTTCTTCCATCAACTCTGTGCTACCCAGACCTCTTTAATTCTCTCCTCCCCTTTCCCACTCTCAATCTTCTGCCGCGGTAAAGAAGGAGGGACCACTTAATACTCCCAGTTTCAGTACCCAGTGTATGAGCTGTGTGATTTCCAACTTGTGGCTGGAGCCTCGGTTGTTCGGGGAAGCCCTCTGCGGAGTCACCAGATCTGGGACCATCTGGATACATCATAACACTGAAAGGCGGAAAGGAGGAAGAAGGAGAGAGTCAGTATTGTGGCCTTCCCACTCTGTCCCCTTAGCTCTAGAGGCAGCGTATGCCTTCAGGCAACAGCGCTCTTGCCCTTGCCAGAGATGAGGCAGAGGCTCCAGGGGCAATCTGAAGGTTGGGAAGCCTCTTAGAAACTAGCACACAAATGTTAACTCTACCTAAGGAGGCTCCAAAGTCAGATCACTTCCTTGATATGGCTTAAATAAACCTTCCTTGTATGCCCTTCCATGTTGTCCCAATAAGTACCCAGAAGTCCAAGTTCCAAATCAGATCCTAAATCAAGGCACTTATCTAGAGACTAGGTTTTGTAAAATGATGGTTCCCTTAACACTTGCAAATGTTTTTACTTATTTTTTTAATTTATTTTTTTATACAGCAGGTTCTTATTAGTCATCCATTTTATACACATCAGTGTATACATGTCAATCCCAATTGCCCAATTCATCACACCACCACCACCACCCACCGCCGCTTTCCCCACTCGGTGTCCATACGTTTGTTCTCTACATCTGTGTCTCACTTTCTGCCCTGCAAACCGGTTCATCTGTACCATTTTTCTATGTTCCATATATACGTGTTAATATACGATATTTTTCTCTTTCTGACTTACTTCACTCTGTACGACAGTCTATAGATCCATCCACGTCTCCACAAATGACCCAATTTTGTTCCTTCTTGTGGCTGAGTAATATTCCATTGTATATATGTACCACATCTTCTTTATCTATTCATCTGTCGATGGGCATTTAGGTTGCTACCGTAACCTGGCTATTGTAAATAGTGCTGCAATGAACATTGGGGTACATGTGTCTTTTTGAATTATGGTTTTCTCTGGGTATATGTCCAGTAGTGGGATTGCTGGATCATATGGTAATTCTATTTTTAGTTTTTTAAGGAACCTCCATACTGTTCTCCATAGTGGCTGTATCAATTTACATTCGCACCAACAGTGCAAGAGGGTTCCCTTTTCTCCACACCCTCTCCAGCATTTGTTGTTTGTAGATTTTCTGATGATGCCCATTCTAACTGCTGTGAGGTGATACCTCATTGTAGTTTTGATTTGCTTTTCTCTAATAATTAGTGATGTTGAGCAGCTTTTCATGTGCCTCTTGGCCATCTGTATGTCTTCTTCGGAGAAATGTCTATTTAGGTCTTCTGCCCATATTTGGATTGGGTTGTTTGTTTTTTTGATATTGAGCTGCATGAACTGTTTATATATTTTGGAGATTAATCCTTTGTCTGTTGATTCATTTGCAAATATTTTCTCCCATTCTGAGGGTTGTCTTTTCATCTTGTTTATGGTTTCCTTTGCTGTGCAAAAGCTTTGAAGTTTCATTAGGTCCCATTTGTTTATTTTTGTTTTTATTTCCATTATTCTAGGAGATGGATCAAAAAAGATCTTGCTGTGATTTATGTCAAAGAGTGTTATTCCTATGTTTTCCCCTAACAGTTTTATAGTGTCCGGTCTTACATTTAGGTCTCTAATCCATTTTGAGTTTATTTTTGTGTATGGTGTTAGGGACTGTTCTAATTTCATTCTTTTACATGTAGCTGTCCAGTTTTCCCAGCACCACCTATTGAAGAGACTGTCTTTTCTCCATTGTATATCCTTGCCTCCTTTGTCATAGGTTAGTTGACCATAGGTGCATGGGTTTATCTCTGGGCTTTCTATCTTGTTCCATTGATCTATATTTCTGTTTTTGTGCCAGTACCATATTGTCTTGATTACTGTAGCTTTGTAGTATAGTCTGAAGTCAGGGAGCCTGATTCCTCCACCTCCGTATTTTTCCCTCAAGGCTGCTTTGGCTATTCGGGGTCTTTTGTGTCTCCATACAAATTTTAAGATTTTTTTGTTCTAGTTCTGTAAAAAATGCCATTGGTAATTTGATAAGGATTGCATTGGATCTGTAAATTGCTTTGTGTAATATAGTCATTTTCACAATATTGATTCTTCCAATCCAAGAACATGGTATATCTCTCCATCTGTTGGTATCATCTTTAATTTCTTTCATCAGTGTCTTATAGTTTTCTGCATACAGGTCTTTTGTCTCCCTAGGTAGGTTTATTCCTAGGTATTTTATTCTTTTGCAGTGGTAAATGGGAGTGTTTCTTTAATTTCTCTTTCAGATTTTTCATCATTAGGGTATAGGAATGCAAGAGATTACTGTGCATTAATTTTGTATCCTGCAACTTTACCAAATTCATTGATTAGCTCTAGTAGTTTTCTGGTGGCATCTTTAGGATTCTCTATGTATAGTATCATGTCATCTGCAAACAGTGACAGTTTTACTTCTTCATTTCCAATTTGTATTCCTTTTATTTCTTTTTCTTCTCTGATTGCCATGGCTAGGACTTCCAAAACTGTGTTGAATAATAGTGGTGAGAGTGGACATCCTTGTCTTGTTCCCGATATTAGAGGAAATGCTTTCAGTTTTTCACCATTGAGAATGATGTTTGCTGTGAGTTTGTCGTATATGGCCCTTATTATGTTGAGATAGGTTCCTTCTGTGCCCACTTTCTGGAGAGTTTTTCTCATAAATGGGTGTTGAATTTTGGCAAAAGCTTTTTCTGCATCTATTGAGATGATCCTATGGTTTTTATTCTTCAATTTGTTAATATGGTGTATCATATTGATTTGCATATATTGAAGAATACTTGCATCCCTGGCATAAATCCCACTTGATCATGGTGTGTGATCCTTTTAATGTGTTGTTGGATTCTGTCTGCTAGTATTTTGTTGAGGATTTTTGCATCTATATTCATTGGTGATACTGGTCTGCAATTTTCTTTTTTTTTGTAGTATCTTTGTCTGGTTTTGGTATCAAGGTGATGGTTGCCTCATAGAATGAGTTTGGGAGCATTCCTTCATCTGCAATTTTTTGAAAGAGTTTGAGGAGGATGGGTGTTAGCTCTGCTCTAAATGTTTGATAGAATTCACCTGTGAAGCCATCTGTCCTGGGCTTTTGTTTGTTGGAAGATTTTTTTTTTTTTTAAAGAAGATGTTGGGGGTAGGAGTTAATTAATTAATTTATTTATTTTTGCTGTGTTGGGTCTTCGTTTCTGTGTGAGGGCTTTCTCTAGTTGTGGCAAGTGGGGGCCACTCTTCATCGCGGTGCACGGCCCTCTCACTATCACGGCCTCTCTTGTTGTGTAGCACAGGCTCCAGACGCACAGGCTCAGTAGTTGTGGCTCACGGGCCTAGTTGCTCCACGGCATGTGGGATCCTCCCAGACCAGGGCCCAAACCTGTGTCCCCTGCATTAGCAGGCAGATTCTCAACCACTGCGCCACCAGGGAAGCCCTGTTGGAAGATTTTTAATCACAGTTTCAATTTCATTACTTGTGACTGGTCCTTTCATATTTTCTATTTCTTCCTGGTTCAGTCTTGGAAGGTTATACCTTTCTAAGAATTTGTCCATTTCTTCCAGGTTGTCCATTTTATTGGCATAGTGTTGCTTGTAGTAGTCTCTTAGGATGCTATGTATTTCTGTGGTGTCTGTTGTAACTTTTCATTTCTAATTTTATTGATTTGAATCCTCTCCCTCTTTTTCTTGATGAGTCTGGCTAATGGTTTATCAATTTTGTTTATCTTCTCAAAGAACCAGCTTTTAGTTTTATTGATCTTTGCTATTGTTTTCTTTGTTTCTATTTCATTTATTTCTGCTCTGATCTTTATGATTTCTTTCCTTCTGCTAACTTTGGGTTTTGTTTGTTCTTCTTTGTCTAGTTTCTTTAGGTGTAAGTTTAGATTGTTTATTTGAGATTTTTCTTGTTTCTTGAGGTAGGCTTGTATAGCTATAAACTTCCCTCTTAGAACTGCTTTTGCTGCATCCCATAGGTTTTGGATCGTCGTGTTTTCTTTGTCATTTGTCTCTAGGTAATTTTTGATTTCCCCTTTGATTTCTTCAGTGATCTCTTGGTTATTTAGTATCATATTGTTTAGCCACCATGTGTTTGTGTTTTTTCCCT